TTCCCACATTTGAAACAAGTGACCCCTCCGTCGCACTTCCCAGAGTGCTTCTTCTTGCACTTGTCACACCACTTCACTTCGCCTCCTCCACCTCCTTTCGAACTAGACTTTGAGAATTTACCCTTTTTGCTGGACCCCGAGGGTCCGTCAAACTTCCTCTTCTCACCAACCTCTGACCTTTCCAGACCTTTCTCCCTGATCTGGGTCTCAACATTTCTGGCAGCCCAGATGGCGGCTTTCAACGTGGTTGCTTGCTTAACCATTGGACCATAGTCCGCTGGTAGTCCAAGGGCAAACTTATTGACCTTTGAGAGTTCTGTTGGAACTAGGTATGGGATAAGCTTCATTTTCTCCGTGAAACTTGCAGCGTATTCAGCAACGCTCATCTTTCCCTTCTTCAAATTCTGAAACTCGTTATTGATTTCCAGTAGGTCCTGCTCTGAGCAGTATTGCAGTTTCAGTTGTTCCACAAAATCTTCCCAAGACATTTTACTCGCTTCTCCTTGGGCATAGAATCAGCTAACAGCTTCCACCAACTCAACACGCCAGATTTCAACAACGGGATCGCAAGAGCGGTCTTCTGCCTGTTGCTGCATTCGCAACTTTCAAACATTGTCTCCATTTCGGAGATCCAATCCATAATTTGCACCGGCGTCGGGCTTCCGGATAGACACGGTGGCTTAGACGCCATAAAATCCTTGTATTTACATCCTCTTCCATCATTTCCTCCATTACGATTGCCTTGTCTAACAATTTGTGGGTTGTCTTGACCAACGGTACCACTGAAGTTTCCACCTTCCGATGGCCCTCCATTCACTTCGGGCTCTTCAACTTGGATTGAAAGTTCTTCACGATTTTGTCGAAGCAGACGTCTAGTTTCTTCCATCTGATTATCCAACATCGCCTGAATCATCAATTGTACACCAGCCATCGTTACTGGCTCAGGTGTTGCAGCTACAACAGGTATTTGCTCAATTACAGGTGGTCGATTCCTGTTTTCGTTTGCGTTTCCAGCTCCACTGCGGGTTCTTGCCATTTTGATCTATACACCGAATAAGGTGAATTTAGATCTTTATTCAGGATAGACGTTTTAAATCATCCTTATCTCTCCGAAACGTTTACATGTTAGTTCTAATATCGTAGTTGTACGTTTAGAATCCTAAACACATAAGGTTTCCAGATCCGGTCGGCAACAGACCATAGATCCGAACAAATAACAGCATATAAGGCATAAATCATTTAGCACATAAAAGCATTTTAGGCACAATTCCTAAAATAAGCTAGTGCTCACACCTCACAATCATTGCTTAGCATTCTAAGTTTAAGTCTAGAAATCCTACAAATTCCTAGTTCGCTTAAACTAATGCTCTGATACCAACTGTGACATCCCCATTTTCACGGCCAGAAAAGACCGATTTGTTTATGCTTTGTTTAAAAATCAGAGTAACATTTTAAATAAAAGTGTTGCGGAATTTGTTCCCAAAATAAAATATGATAAGGATTTATCAAAACATTTTCGTAGAAATGTATTTCATTAAAAGCCTCGGGATGTCATGTTCGATACAGATCAAAAGCATAAACAGTACAATATAACCTTACTACATTTGTTCATAATCTCTCATCCCAAACATCATGTCTATGCTCGTGCGCCACTACCTGTAATACAAGAAACTGAGTGGGTCAGGCTTGGGAGCCTGGTGAGCACATAGGGTTTTCAACCCACAATAAATAAGTTTATTAATTTCATCAACCAACAATAACCCGATTACCCGTTCCCGTTATCCTCACATTACGTCCCTAAAACACCTATCATAAGGGACCTAGCCTAAGGATCAACATCGGGATGGACACTACTGCCAAGGGGTTTCCTCAGTAATAAATGTCCTAAAGGCAACCATGAGGGGGATGGAGTACACCGGTGAACACATCGTTCACAAACACCTACAAGTTGCGAGCCTGCTAGCGTTCCACTGGACTGTCTAGAAGAGTCTGTGGTCGTCATCCATACTCCGCTAGATAACAGAATCAACAACAACAACATCGAGGCCTCTCATCATTTTATCACACATCGTCTTATTACATCTACCCATGTTTTACCCCAACATTTTTTTTGTAGATATAAAATACATATACAGTTTAAATTATTTAAAACATGTATAAAAATCTTTCATCAGTATAGGCAGCAAGTATTCAGATAATATGCACACATAGCACGTAATTAATATAAAATACTTCATATCTATGTGTAAGATGAAAGTAACTATGCACTCACCTGATTAGGTGGTGACTCGGTACTCGAACAGCACCCCGTTATCTCAAAACAATTTTTCTTGATCAAAACCTAGTATTAATACCACTAGCGTTTAGTTTTAACGTTAACCGCGACTAATTAGTCTGGCTATTATTATTATTATACAAGCGTGAAATAACACTCAATATATAAATAATATTAGCCCAAATAATTATTTTAAGGACCTAATAACATTACTATAATTATTTAAAAGTTATATTAAAAATTTCGTAGGCGTACCTTACTTACAGCGGGTTTTTTTTTTCTCAAAACAGGGCTTCGCTGGAGCAGCGTTTCCGAGCCGAAAGGTTCTTTTCTCGGGACTCCGGGAGCCTCGGGACTTTCTTCGGGTGCTAGGGGGTTTACCTAGACTTTAGGGGGTCAAGGGAGCTTAGAGAGAGAGTTTAGAGAGAGAAAGTGGAAGAGGAAAGATGTAAGAAATGAGAGAACCCAACACTTCTATTTATAGTGAGTTGGGGCATGTGGTGACCTTCTGGTGGTGCCACTTGTCCAAATTCTGGTGGTGTCACATGTCCAATTTCTGGTGGTGTCATGTGTCCAATTTTTGGTGGTGCCACATGTCCAATTTCTGGTGGTGCCATGTCACCCAATATCGCGTATCGGCCTCCCGTCTTAGAAAAATCATAACTCTCGCATACGAGCTCCGTTTTTGACGTTATTTATATCCACGCGAAGGCGGGAACGTAATCTACAACTTTCGTTTAGACTCTGTTGGCTAATTTTGAATTTATTTTAAAAGTTATATTTTTAACAGGCCGGGACAGGATTGGTCCGTTAAAAATTCATAACTTCTTCATCCGACGTCCGTTTTCGTCTGTCTTTTTATTGTTACGCCACAATTAAAGAGCTCTTCAATTCTCGTTTAGGTCGTGTCGGCTAAAAATTCGCTTTATCATAAATTCACTATTCACGCTTCCCGGTATCGTGCCGGTTCCGTCGTGAAACTTCGTCGGGTTATAACTTCTTCGTTATAACTCGGATTTCGGCGTTCTTTATATCTCCGGAATCCTTGTTTTGACCACTACAACTTTATGTAAAGATATCGGGCTTATCTCATATTTTAATTTTGACGCTTATTTTTATTCTTTATTAATTATACATTTATAATTAAATAATAAGCACATAAATTCACAAAATACTCAAATATTTCATTTTTATTACATCAAAAGAGTTACAATAGTTGACCTAGACTATTACATCGTCTAAAAATGCTTAGCCCCGAAACCCGAGCGTTATAATTAAGCAAATAAATTAGCTTATTTGGAGATAAACCGTGCTCAATCTTCGTAGTTTCTTTTTTCCCTCATCCCCATAAGAAGCTACACTAATATTATTCTTGGAGGTAGTGGAGAGATGAATAAAGGGAAACACAGGTGGTGTTCAGCCAAGATCCAAATCTTTATCGAAATAAATAAAGAAACGATTTAAACCAGTGGAAGAATTTGAAATTTTAATATCGATGAATGAATGGAAGAGATTGATTGCAGGTCCTTTTGTTGGAAAAGATCGATGACAGAAGGGTGGGATAGGGTTACTGTGTCGACGAATATGAAAGGGGACCCATGTAATTGGATGTAAACAACTACAGATTTTTCGGGAGGAAGATGCAGACTTGGTGAATTGAATCATACGCCTCACTTGTAAAAGAAGTGGGTGTCAGTGGTATTAGGCGGAATGAGTGGTGGTGTTATAGGAACGACTATAGATAAAAAAGGGGGACAAATTAGGTTAAAAGTGAATGCTATCATGATTATAGGGACTATTTGTGGAATTTATTTATTAAGTTACTAAATTACCCTTATTTATTTATTTAATTATTTGATTATTTATTTAATTTTGATTGACCCACAATTATTTCTACATCTACACAATAGTTAGTTGGAATACTTGAGCCTACCTCTATGTATATATACCTCTCTCTCTCTCTCTCTCTCTCTCTCTCTCTATATATATATATATATATAATATATATATATATATATATATATATATATTAGTTAATAAGATTAATTACCTTGGGGAGATTCCAAGTCATTGGACACAAACGTGATCTGTCGGTTTTTGTTTTTTTAAACCTTGTAACAACCCTAAAACAAAACTAAATAGCATTGTATCGTTAAAATTTATGAAAAGATATATCATTTAGAATACTAAAATCAGAAATCTCTTACTTATTCACATGTTCAACTATTGTATAGTCTTTCAATGTCTTTGTCCTTCGGGCGGAATCCAAAATGTAGCTTTTATATTGATAAGGACAAATCACTATCAACATCCAATGTTTCATAGTAAAGGTTAAACAAATTAAACATAAACAACTTTTGATTAAAAATATCACATAACAGTAAAGATATAAGAATATCATATCTTTCCCAATATGCTGCAAGAAAAAAATTGTTTTCTCCTGATGAAAATTCATCACATCAACAAGAACATTGATGACATGATTTATTTCACCCCTATCATCGTATTCACATCTCTTAGGCGTGATATCTTGTGGGTTTATAAAAGCACATTTATTATCCATTCTTGATATAAGCATCAGTGAATGTAGCATTCTTAAAAAACACAATAGATTTTATAATGGTAAAATAATATAAAACATCAATACTGTAAATCTTAAAGTAGTTACATTTGATACCATATAATACAATTAATATCAAGTTGGTTGTTGTTCAACATCTCCATAATGGCTATTGGGCTAATCACAGTTTCAACACTCGTAACTTTGAAGATCCTGGGTTCAGACACAACAATAAATGACTTTGGAATGTTGTGGATCTTAAACCATCTGTGCAATGGTTGGATCATCGATCTACCCTCTGGTTTCTTTGGCATCATGGTTTTCTACACCGTTTGGTATAACTTTTTGTTTTGTACCTACATTAAGAAACCAAATGATTATCATGGAAACTATATTGCTATGTGTTCCAATAATTATATAAATAATAACAATAAAAGCAACCTAGATAGAGAGAGCGAGGTTTGTGCCATATTCCCTATTTTATGGTTCATCCCCCATCATCTCTTCAGATGCATCAAGTTTCCTTCTTTTCTTTCTAGGAAGATTTTTCTACGTATATTTTTGAGGGCTAAATGCTAAAAAAAGAAACATACTTTAATTTATTTATTGTAGCATCCAACTTTCATATCTTTTCATTGTAACATTGTAGATTTAACTTTTTATCTTGTTAAGGCATGTTAATATATAATATTTTTCAAATATCCTTCTTTTTTTTATGGCTTTTGTATAATTAGTAGATTTTTCAAACCATAATGCTACAATAAGAACAAACAAAAGTAAGATGCTATTAAAAAACAAAATATGAAAGTACGTTGCTATTTCATGTTTGCTTTCTTATTAAAGAAAACGAAAGAAGAAAATTATGCACCTCATACACTTGCTTTTTCTTTGCTTTCTTCTTACGCTCTTTAGATTATTCAACATTCACATTTTCTTTCCCTTTTTCCCGAACTCCAAATTAAAAGATTATATTTTAATATATGTAGATTTTTTTATGGGAAGTTAAATATAATTGAAAATTATACATTTCCAGAATTGTAAGTTTGAGTAACTACCTGGTCATGAAGAATAGGAGCAGCTTGGGTCGAAATTGGTAGTGGTTCAATGAGAGGTATTTTATCTTTCTAGATAATTGGAATCGAGTTTAGTAAATAGTCAAAGATGCATGTGATTAGATATTATTGTACCTTAATAAGAGTAATTGAATCTCGGGGCCATTGAAGAAAACTATGAAGTGCCTTCCCCAGATTATATACACCGTCAATTGGGGAGACTGGAAGAAGGAAAGAATGATGATCTCTATTGATAATATCCTCCGATACCATCAGGTGACCTCCTACTTCTAGAAGAATCAAATGAATTACCCCATCTCCAGAATGCAAGATAGTTCCTTTGGCTAATGATGGGCATACTATGCCATGTGGTAGCATCAACTCGCAGTCGGTGACTTCCTACAAACAAATATACATTTTATTTAATGTAGAGTTATATTATCAAACATGCAAAAAAATATATATTTTAGAAAAAATACATATAGTTATCTTATGCAACTCATCCAACAATGTCATGGATGTCTTCAATCCAATATTGGTTGTCTTCACCCCAGAAAAATTTGTGTCTCCCGCCATATTAGTTATCTAATTTTGCTTCAACACATCAACCACCATGGACACTAATTGTTCCACCATATCAGTCATTAACTTATCTTTGATCTTGTCATAAAAGTTGTTATTTAACATCCTTGTCTCTAGCTTCTCTTGCAAACTCTAAAACTCCTTGAGATAACTGAATACCTTTTTGGATCTCTAAATGCAAACAATAAAACTGTAAGAGTAGTTTATTTAATAAATAAATTTCAAAGGGACATTATAACAACATTAAAATGAAAGATCACTATCTTACAGTCTCATCTGCATAAATATAATTTTTTGTCTGCTTGTTTGATACATTGTGGCCTTATTGTTAAACCAGACGCGACCTCTTCATCCCATTTGCTTTCGTTATCACGATACCCGCTTGGGCTGATGGTTCTTGTTTTGATTTGTGGTCTCCCTCCCTTTACTTCTTAAGTCCTTTACAAATGAATTATCCAATTAGATATAGTAAAACATAATAATATCATAAATAGGAATAAACTCAAACCTCAAATTCTTTCGTGGATTTTAGAACAAGGAAAATTTCCACATTGCTTTGTCAAGGTACGCGTATTTTTTAGTGGATTGATATCGTTGACCTGGCAGCTGGCTGCATGCAAAACCCTAATTTATGAGGTTAGCGCCTCTATTTAAGGAATGTGATGGCTAGGGTTTCCACACCCTCAGCCTCCATCACCTCCTTTTCATCCCAAGAAAGCCCTAGCCTCCATTTTTGTGTTCTTGAAGATTAAGTGGTGATTTTTGGTGTCTAGAAGGAAAAGAAGGTGTTCCTCGTGTATAGATCCAGCAAACAAGCTACCTCACCACCTATTTGCTCATATTCTAGACCATTGTAAGTCCTTAGGTTCCAATATTTATGTGTTATTCTTCTATAACTAGGGTTCTATACTTTTTTCTCATAGTTTGACAAAACAATGTGGAAATTTTTTCTTATTTTAAAATCCACGGAAGAATTTGAGGTTTGTTTGAGTTTATTCTTATTTATGATATTATTATGTTTTACTATTTCTAATTGGATAATTCATTTGTAAATGAATTAAGAAGGAAATGGAGGGAGACCGCAAATCAAAACAAAAACCATTCTCGATTAGGCCCAAGAGGGTATCGTGATAACGAAAGCAAATGGGATGGATAGCTCGTATCTGGTGTAACAATAAAAGGCCACAATATATCAAGAAAACGGGCAAGAAATTTTATCTATTCCAGGAGAAAACATAATTCATCGGGGCAATTGGTTATAACGCCAGAGATCGAGCCTCTAGTATATGAGATTGTAAGATAGTGATCTATCATTTTAATGTTGTTATCATTTCCTTTTGAAAGTAAATAAACTTCTCTTACAATTGTATTGTTTGCATTTAATGATCCAAAAAGATATTCAGTTATCTTAAGGAGTTTTGGAGCTTGACCTCGATCTGATCTATTGACAGAGGTACTAGGACGGGAACATCCCGATCGCACGAGGGCGGTTGGTCACGTTATCGGCCTAAAACAATCAATGATTTATAAGACAAAAAAGAAAGCACATGAGTTACCTAATTTTGAACAGATGCAAGAGAAGCTAGAGACAACGATGTTAAATAACAACTTTTATGACAATATCAAATATAAGTTGAATATTCGCATGGCCGAACATTTAGTGCACATGGTGATTGTTGTGTTGAAGCAACATAAGATAAATGATATAGTAGAAGACATAAATTTTTTTGGGGGAAGACAACAGGTGTTGGATCAAAGACATCCATAACATTGTTGGATGAGTTTCATAAGATAACTATATGTATTTTTTTAATATATATTTGTTTGCATGTTTGATAAGATCCAACATGTTTTAATATACATGTTGGATCGAAGACATCCATAACATTGTTGGATGAGTTTCATAAGATAACTATATGTATTTTTTTAATATATATTTGTTTGCATGTTTGATAATATAACTCTACATTAAATAAAATGTATATTTGTTTGTAGGAAGCCACCGACTACGATTTGATGCTACCATATAGCACAGTACGCCCATCATTAGCTAAAGGAACCGTGTTCCCATTTTCAGATGGGGCAATTCATTCGGTTCCTCTAAAAGCCGGTCACCTGAGGGTATTGGTCGATATTATCTATAGAGATCATCATTATATCCTTCTTCCTGTCTCCCTAATTGAAGGTGTATATAATTTGGGGCAGACACTTCATAGTTTTATTCAGTAGCCCCGAGATTCAATTATTCTCATTAATATCTAATCACATGCATCTGTTATTATTTAATAAACTCGATTCCAATTATGCAGAAAGATAAAAGACCTCTCATTGAACCACTACCAATTTCGACCTAAGCTGCTCCTATTCTTCATGACCAGGTAGTCACTCAAACTTACAATTCTGGAAAGGTATTATTTTCATTTATATTTAAAGAGATGATAGGGGATGAAGCGAAAAATAGGGTACATGACACAAACCTTTCTCTCTCTCTCTTATTATTTTCATTATTAATGGAACACATATCAATATAGTTTTCATGATAATCATTTGGTTTCTTAATGTGGGTACAAAAAAAAGTTATACCAAACGGTGCAGAAAACCATGATGCCAAAGAAACCTGAGGATAGATCGATGATCCAACCATTGCATGGATGGTTTATGAGTCACAACATTCCGGAGTTGTTTACGGTTGTGTCTGAATCCCGGATGTTCAACATTGGGAGTGTTGAAACTGTGATTAACTCAGTGGCCATTATGGAGATGTTGAACATTGAACAACTTGATATTAGTTGTATTCTATGGTATCAAATGTAAGTACTTTAAGATTTACAATATTCATGTTTCATATTATTTTACCATTGTAATATATATTGTGTTTTTTTAGAATGCTACATTCACTGATGCTTATATCAAGAATGGATAATAAATGTGCTTTTGTAAACCCACAAGATATCACGTCCAAGAGATGTGAATATGATTATAGGGGTGAAACAAATCATGTCGTCAATGACCTTGTTCATGTGATGAATTTTCATTGGGAAAAACAATTTTTTCTTGCACCATATTAGGAAATGTATGATATTCTAATATCTTTACTGTTATATGATATTTTTAATCAAAAGTTGTTTATATTTAATTTGTTTAATCTTTAAGAAGAAACATTGGATGTTGATAGTGATTTGTCCTCATCTATATAAAAGCTGCATTTTGGATTCTGCCCGAGGGACAAAGACATTGAAAGACTACACAATAGTTGAACATGTGAATAAGTAAGAGATTTCTTATTTAAGTATTCCAAATGATATATCTTTTTATAAATTTTAACGAGACATGGTTTATTTTTGTTTTAGGGCTGTTACATGGTTTAAAAAAACAAAAACCGACATATCACGTTTGTGTCCAATGACTTGGAATCTCCCCAAGGTAATTAATCTTATTAACTAATATATATATATAATATATATATATATATATATATATATATATATATATATATATATATATATATATATATATATATATACACCACACACAAACATATATATATATATATATATATATATATATATATATATATATCCAAAAAGAAAACTCATACGTATATAATCTTTTTAGCGCAATAAAAAATTATTCGATTGAGAGTGTTGTTACAACGTTATGACTAGGATGCATGAGTATGACTAGGATGCATGAGTTTGTACTTTTTCTACAAATTTTTTATTGTACTAAAGCCTCACCTTTGTTAAATAACAAATTTTTTATTTTAATTTGTTTGTAGAACATTTGGAAGGACAAAAACCGTTTTTTTGGTGAGGAATTGGACGAACGCGTTAAAACATGGATGAGAACTTTTGGTGATAAAGTGAAGCTTTTTTCAAGTCAACAGTTAGTGTTTCTATATAAGTTATTATAATTGGTTATGTTTTTCAAAGTACAATGTTATAGTTGGTTTTCCAAAGTAAATCATCTTAATAAGAAAACCTTGGAAGTAGAATCCTATAATTGGTTATATTTTTTTTATTGTTTCTGGATAAGAAGCTTTTGTGAACTACAACAATAAAAGATAAATATATGAAAGTTTTTTTTTTTATGGAAAATGAGATATATAAAATTAGGATGCTTTATTCTGTGTTTTATAGTGGAAGTTTGCAGATTTCTTTTTTGGAGGTTGTTGTTATGGAGGCTTTGCATAAAAGTTTTTGTAAGGTATACAAACATTGTGTTATTTTGAGTTAGTTGCATTTACTCATATGTTTTTATGTTCTGGAGAAGTTTGCACCCTTTCATTGTTATAGACGAATTTCTTTAATATCATTAAGTTGTCATATAATTAGGTTGTACTTGTATTTTACAACATTATGTACACATTAAGCTCTATTCATATCATTAAGTTGTCTTATAATAGGGTTCATATATTCATTGAATTTAGATATTGTATGTCCCACACACGTAGACCTTTTATATACTTATGAAGTTGTTAATGGCAGGAAGATCCTATAGTTTGAGTTTTCTTCATATTGTTCCTATTAAAAATTATTTGGGATGTTGAGAGTATGAATCCTAAGTTTTCTTGTTTTTGTAGGCATACAATAAATCAACCACAAAAGGGAAAGAGAGTTTAGGTGTGACATTCAACAAATTTAAGAATGTTTTTATGTTTAATGAATTAGGTATACAAATGATAGTCTTTTAGATTGTATAGACTATGGATAAGTCTGAACGAATATTAATGTTTTTATGTTTAATGAACTAAGTGGTTCATTTTAATTATTTTTCTATGTCTGAAAATGAAAACATGATTAATGATGTGCCACTTTAATTTTCTTCTGGTTGGAATGGAATCGTATTTAGTAGGGATATAATGGAATCATATAGTAGGTTTGGTTGGCTGCTAATCAATCATATATAGTATGGTTATATACATGTATTGTATTGATTTAGGATTGTATTAGATTGCAGTTTTGATTCAATCATATATAATACGGTTATATGCATCTATTGTATTGATATATGATTGTAGTTTTGAAGTTTTGATTTATGGCTAGAATGGGATATAGAGTACGGTTAAATAACTGTATTCTATTAGGTTGTTTAATCTAATACTCCCCTCTATTTGTTATATGTATACATTCAACCGTAATAGATCATCGTTTTTCTAGCATTGATGTTATGTAAGTTGAATTCATATGCTTATTTCTTGGAATATATCACAATTGTTTTCATGCAATTTCTCTTGCATATTCTTATTTACTGCCTTTATTTTCTTATTTTGCAAAAAATGAATTATGTTCAATAAACATATCAAACTCAAAGAGAATCACATATAAAAATTATGCATCATGGTTTGAAATTGTTGTTCAACCATTTCCATAAAGCATTTAAAGGTGGCATAGAAATTAGATTTCAACTTTAGAGGAAAAATCCACATAAAGTGAGAGTAGTAGTCAATACACAACATAAAATAGTTGTGACCATCAAAAGAAGGAATCGGTGTAGGACCCATACATAAACAAACTAAATTCGAAATATGCACACTTTTATAAATAGATGGCAATAAGTGCAGTTTAGACGATTTTTAATAAAACTTGAATCATAAAAGGTGCGAAAACATTTAATTTCAAAGGTAAATTATATTTAGATAACATAGACTTCGAAATTTGTGGATGTGTCTGAAGAACATGAAAGGAGTAGGGACCGCCATTACTTGGACCCGTGAGGAGGATAGTGTGTGTAGACTTGTCCTTCACAACACAAAAATTGGAGTGAAATTCAAAATAAACATGATTATCAAGACAAATTTTTTGGACAGATAGTAGGTTTTGTTTGATTTCAGGAACATGGAGTATGTCATTAAGTGAAAAGGTTTTGGTTGATGAATAAAACCGTGAGGAACCAACATGTAAAATGGGTAAACCCTTACCATTACTAACGTGAAGGTTGTCCTCACCACATTAAGCCTCAAAGTTATCAAAGCTAGATAGGTCTGGTGCAACATGGTGACTAGAACAAGTATCCGGAAACCAAGAACTGGACGCCTGTGAGCGATAAGTTGTGAAGTTGGCTGACGGTGTTTGTCTTGGTTTTATAGTAGTGGGGTTACGGTTAGGGTAATGAGATGGGATATGACCAATCCCACACATGTTGCAAGTACCAAAAACAATGGTTTGAGTAGAAGCCCAACTAAATTGATTTCGGTTACCTCCTTGTTTTATGTTGGTGTAGTTTCTCTGACCATGGTGACGCCCACGACCACAATTATTGCTAGATCTATTGGTGTAAAAGGCTTGTGCGGTTTGTTAGGTAGGGGGCTGGACTTGAAGGCCAAGTGGAGACAAAAGTTGTTGGACAATATGAAGTAGATCCGATTGAGGTGTCGATAAGGTGGTGCTAGAGACTATGGACTTACGGTTGTTTGCAGTAGCCGTGAATGCTTGAGTTGTTAAGAGGTCAGTATCAAGTTTCTTGATCATGTAATCATGATATTATAATAGGCAATGGAGTTCAGCAATGACAGTGGGAAATTGGCAGCCTAGGAAGGTAGATTTGAGGCTATTGTACTCTTCACGAAGAACAGATATGTCACACCCCCGGCCGAGGCGGCGGAACATGCCGGGTTGTATGACTAAGTTCATGGATCACAGGTAAACTGAATATATAGTACAAGTACAACAATAAACAAAATAACATCCATGTTCCATCTTGATATTTGAATACAAGGTTTTTTTTACAAATAATAATAGTACATTAATTGACTTAACAGATAGGCATATAATACCACAACAAGTAAACTAGGTCACCTGTAATCCAGTCTGTCTTAAATGTTTGTTTAGTGATTTTCTGATAATACATTTAGTTTTGAGGGTCAGCACAAGGTTGGTGAGTGTTAAAAGTTTTCTGCTAACAACATTAATACTTTTAAAAGTCTAAAAAGTATTTTCTTTGTATGTATAACAATAGTTAAACAATGTTTGCAATGAGTCTTTAAAAGCCAAAATGTATCTTTGTATAAGTAAACTCATACTTAAAACTATGTTTGTAATGAATCTTTGAAAGCCAAAATGTATCTTTTGTATAAGTAAATCCATACTTAAAACTATGTTTGTAATGAATCTTTGAATGTCCTTGAAAACCAAACTGTACTGTTACATAAGTAATTTCACACTTAAAATAGTTTTGAAAGCGACCAAGCTCATGGTTTGTAGAGAGAGAGAGAGAGAGAGAGAGAGATATTCCAGTTAATGTTTATAGTGAGTCCTATAATCGAGCTATGTGACTGAATGTACCCCCTACAACGCTTCATTGGACGTTGTAGTAATAATTGTAGACACTTATAACCCGTTTCGATTAATTGGTCGAGGTTGTAGCTAGCAACCGCAGGTGGGGATGTCAACCCCGTATATATATATATATATATATATATATATATATATATATATATATATATATATATATATCTCGCTCCGAAGATTAACGATTATAGTAGTGTGGGTAATGTTAAGTGTTTAGACTCAACTAATGAATATAGTCTCACTAAAAAGCCTTTACCAAAGTATGTGAATAACTCTCAGCCCTAACCTAATTGTGATTAAGTCACTAGGCATAATGAATTTCATTGTATAAAGATTATAAATTGTATGTGAAAGTGTAATGTACTCGCTTTTATAAAGATGTATGTTTCATAGTAATGAACATATGTACATATATAAACTTTATATATTTAAACATATAAATATACATGAATAGTAATAGCTTGAATCCTTGAAATAGTACAAAGTTTTCTAGCGTGCTTGTTATAATATACAATGTCACATAGTAATCATATATTTTTGTATCATGTATTTGTTGTGTGGACTAGTTATTTCACGATAAAATAACCATAATACGTATACGAAAAGTTTATACTAGTTTATTTATAACGACATATTACATTGTTAAATAACATTTTTTTTTAAACTAGGATTATTGTATTTACGCATAAAAGGATAATTTGTTTATATAAACGAAGTATATAGGGGCATGTATTCTCTTTCACCCTTGAAGCGAGAGTTCGAGTTGTTCGGAGTTCGTTTATTTTTGGGAAGCTTGACGTGAGAACCGCAAATTCACGTTTCTTGGATTTTGAAATACTTTCGGGACCGTTTCGTAACGAATTTAAATTATTGGGGGCTGTTGAGTAATTTAATTAATCAAAGTATGACTGATTTGGTTAAAATAAATCAAGGGAGGGACTGAGATGGTTTAAATTGAATTAATGTTTGAGAAAATGGACTTATATTGTTAAGAAATCTCCATGGGAGGGGCTGTTTTGTTTAAAATACACCAAAGTTTTGGGGAAATGAGTCATTTTGAATAAAGGGTTCAGCAGAAGGGTCTAATGTGTTCATTTTATAAAGTCAAGATGATTTAGGGCTTTTTGTAAAAAGAAATCTCATGGAGAGACCGTTTTTGTTTAATGGCCCAAACTTAAAAGAAATTAGGGCTTTTTGTGCCCCATTCGTCATTTGTCTGATTGATCGGGCAAAGAAGGAACGAACGAAACAGTTGGACGAAGACGTGCGAAGGAAAGCACGAAGCGGCGGCGCTGCATCCGGGCTTTGCTCGTCGCAGGTCACGAAGAAGACCGAAGGAAGGAGAAGCTTGCAGGTGGCGATCACCGAGGAACCCTTCCCGGTTCGCGCATCTGGTAGCCGACCGAAGTCAAGTAAGGAGGGAGCACCTTCGGTGCTTGGTTGGACCGAAGAAGGTTTAAGAACTGAGCAGCGATTCTGTTCTTCTCCTATTCCAATCGTGAGGTGCGAGGGGAGAAGGTCCGAAGGGGAGTCCGGTCGGTCAGCAACACGTCGCAGGTGGTGTGTTGGGCAGCGGAACTCGACGGGAAGAAGAAGTGAAGGTTGCGATGGGTATTGCTCCGAT